TTCTGGTGAGTCACCACATGGCACAGTAGTGGACTCAAGACCCCGAGACACGCGCTCAGAGCCACAGTCACATGGCCGGGGAATTAAGTGTGCGCAAAACCTATCAGCCATCATAGTCAACTAATCGTCACTTAAATGTTTACTAGTTTTATGGCTTCTGTTTGACCTATAAACTTCTTCTGGAGTTGTACTTGTCATTTTTTGGTTCAAGGTCTATAATATAATAAGACATGCATTTACATTTGGTTTTATGTTTCTATAGTCTTAGATAAATTACACTAAATAAAGTCAAAACCGAGAAGCTAAGAGAATTCTCATTAAAGGGGGCATCTCAGGATCCAGGTTTGAACTACCCTGCTGTCTCGTGCTGTCTTGCTGTTTGTGTGACTGTCATTCAACCCCTCTCACCACCGCCCTCACAAGATCTGGAGGCGGATTAAATGAGATAAGGAAAGTGAGAATGCCTAGCCCACAGACGGGGTTACAATGACAGTTTTGTCTCCTGTCCACCAAATGGAAAATGATGTGGCTAAATATAGAGCAGGCTGTCCCTCCCGGGCAGTGTCTGGGCCAGGAGGGACACACTTCCACCTAGGAGTCGGTCCGAGCAGAGCCTCAGGCTCCGTCTGGAACCTGGTGATGGCACCTGCTTTGTAACATAGTCCCGCTGATTTGATATTGCACATTAGAGTCTGAGAGCCGTAGTCCGGATCTCCAGAGAAAGCTGGTAGTAAAATTCATGGTATCTTGTAGATTAACTTCAGAGGGTAGGGAAAGGTCAGGTGTAAATAGTCAAGAAAGATTGCTTTTCCCTGGGGTTCAGTATAAACACTGTCCTTTTACTACTGGCTCTTCATGAACTGTGTTAGCATAGAATGCAACCTTTTTAAAGAGATCTAACTTCTAACATAGAACGACCAAAATATACATTTTTTAAAAAATATTTATTGATTGGTGCATATAGAACCGGGGTACAGGCCAGAAGCACAGGGGCAGTGAAAGACTTCACCAGAGACAGAG